AAAATATATACTTATTGGTGTTTTGTATCAATATTTCTATGTCATTTAATGCAATTTCAAAAGGCACTCAAAAAGCTCTGAAAAGCTCCACACCACAGAATGATTCATGCCACAGTTCGAGGGTTAAGTGAAAAATTTCTGACACAGGTGCAGCAATTTGATATCCATAGGAGGTGAATTTCTTAAGGGTTGGCAAAGGACAGTAGTGGACATCTGGAATTTTTATGGGGGGGGGGGGGGGGGGGGTCCTAACTTTAGGTGATGATTTGTGATGATGGGACAGGAGGGGTGAAAATAGGAAAAATGTGCGTGATGTCATCTATGGATGGCCCCTATATAGTACAGACCGGTATAATGGACGCAGTAGACTTGGTAAACAGAGAAGCAATATTATATTATATTAAATTTACTGATGTACATAGTGCATAGTCACAATTTATTTATAATTGCATAACTATAACATTATTAAAATAACTTCAATAACTATATAACTTCATTTTAATGATCATTTCTTACGACTTTTATTTTCAGAACTAATGCTGTATTAAAATTTTTTTTTTAATAATGTTATACAATTATAGATAAATTGTAGCTTATCTAACAATGCACTATGTATAGCATTAAATATCATATGTTTTAATATATTATATAAATATGGCTGTTCTGTTTACCAAATCCACTGCATCCATTATACTGGTATATTATATGCTATAAAGACAACGCATCCCTTTATTACTAAAATACTTCTTTTGAACTTTCAACTTTGGCACAAGACTAATTAATAAAAGCTTTCCCTGACCAATGATTTAAAGGTTTAATAGTTTTTGCACACGGCAAACTGTTTATGAATGAAAACTCTGAGGTAGTACGGTATAGCCATTATGCAAGTGACTGTGAAAGGCTGCCCTTGCCCATGACATTTTGCACACGGCTAATTATGATCCTTTATAATATGAACTCTATATCTGGTTTTTTTAACCTCAACTTAAAATATTATTCTTTCAATAACATTTAAGTTTATTCTAAAACATAATTTATCAATTATTTTGATGTAAATAGTGGTAATAAGTAGGGGTGTGCCGGATTCCGGTTCCGCCGGATTTTACACTATCCGGTGAAATCCAGTTCTGCCGGATTTACATGTATCCGGAGCAACCGGAATCCGGAATATACCGGATTTCGGAATTTGCCAGAATTTGTGACTCACCGGATCATAATCTGAAATAAAAGTAATTCTCTTTCCCGAATTCCACACGATCACGATACATTAATCGATTGTTTCTAGCGTTGAGTTTGTTTAATGTTTAATATTCTGCAAAGTACCAAAATCCGGGAGAAACTGGAATCCGGATTATTCCGGAATCCGGATTATTCCAGATCCGGCGGATTTCGCATAAGAAAATCCGGATCCGGTTGGAAAAAACGGATCCGGCACACCCCTAGTAATAAGTAAGTACTTCTTAAGTATCAGCATCTTTGGCCATTAAAAAGGGGGCGTGGCCCACGCCATTCCAAATTAGGCTGAGCAACCTTATGGTAATGCAGGGTGCTGGGACAACCGTAGCGATCGTTGGACATGACCTATATCAATGAAAATTGTTACACATATACATCAATATACAATGCTTTACCAGATTTAATATGAAAGACCGCATCTTTGAATTTCTTTTTAAAAATTTCAGGGAAAGATGCCTTATATTGACATACGATTTTCCTCACTTTAAAAGTTGATGTAAAGAACAAAAAACTCAATGGGAAAATAGGTCAAAATTTATCCTAATGTGAATGGGCCGAGTTAGACCTTAATTTTGGGCCAAAAGGACTCCTGTATCATTAAAATTACACTCAGATAAAAAAATAAAAAACTTGGATTCCATTGTGCCGATGCCCATTTCCGATACAAATTTTCTAGGAGTGTCCCTGCTTTACCGAAGTACCGGGTACCTAGAGACCTAGTCACACTTAGTGCTAGATTAGTATTAGATTACTAGCTAGCTAAAGCTAGCGAAAACTTTTGCTTTGGATACCATTTAGGTAATCTAACATTTGAGCGTCACCCAAAAAAAATTCAGTTGTTCCGGTTTAAAGGGCTATTTCAACAATTATTCTTATATTATTTTTAATGACATTGATTGTACATATTCATTCCAATAATACAAATAACACAAGACAACTTTTAAAAATATAAAAATTATTTTAAAACATTTTAATAGAAGAATTTAAACAATTTAATGTGTGAAAATGGAATTGTGCATAGTTCTCCCCATAGGCCCAAGGTGACAATGAAGTTTTTAAAAATATCTTTACCACGAAAACGGTTGCGGAACATGAATTCACGTAAATATGCAGGGGAAAGATCCAAACTATCTTTTCAGTTTACGCTTTGCCAGCATCCGTTTTCCACATTCTGTGTGTGGATATCCGTGTCATCTGGATCAATAAAATTGGTCTGATGCACCATCTTAGGGTGCTGAATAAGGGGTCTGACAAATTCGGCAGTAGTGTGGACAACCACCATACATTCTTCTTTGTTTCGTACCAGTATCAAACACTTCAGGCTTCAGCACTATGTGGTCTCTTTTTCTTCTTGCCATATCGGTAGTTTAGTTGTAATAATTATTTAAACGTATTAGTATTGTGCTAAGCAACTTTAGCCTAAACAGAAGCGAAAATATTAATGGACACCAATGTAAGAATAGTTGTTTAAATAGCCCTTCATACAGGAACAACTGGATTTTTTTTCTTGGCCGATGCTCAAGTGGTAGACTGATTAATTACTACCATTATTATTATTATGATTTGTACATTTCATGTCTGATATCTTGTTGCGCATCAGAGGAAATGTTGGCCTTCTGTGAACTCGCTGTTCTTAAGGTAAAAAGCCGCATCATAAATTAAAAATGTTCAAATAATTTTTTTCATTACCAATTTGATCACGTCATGATGATGAACTGTATTTGACGTAATGAGTGAGTAGTGACAATTGACTTTAATTATACTACTATAATACCCTAAAATAACTATACAAAATAAAATTATTGAACTTTAAATTGATTAATTACTTTCTACAATTTATTTCTTAATTACCGATTCCAAGAGATCCATTAACTCTTTTACACTTCTTTCAATTTCATCTTTTTTCTTGACAAGCTCTTGATACCGTTTCGTGGTCGCCATGTTTGTTTAAATATTGACAATTTAAAAATATGGAATAGGAGAATTATCTGTACTCAAATTATAATTCGCAAAATAGTTTTTTTATAATTTTTAAAAAAATGTATTTTATAACTTAAATTCATCCAAAAGAACTAAATATGACGAGACTTCTGTCTTTAAAGTGTTTTAGATCATATCAAATTATTCATTTTATTTAAAAATACCATTTAATAAAGAAAATATTGACTAATTAACTTCTAAAATTTAAATAAAGTAAAAATTAGAACAATATTTAATTGACATAGCCATAGCCAGTGACAAATGACATTGATATTTTTTTTTTTTTTATTGTTGAGATACTTGTTTATTATAAGTCTAATTTTCCAAATTATTTTTTTTACTAAAATCTGATGCGTATGATGTTAGGTAAGCATTTTCTTTTGGACAACAATTAATTTATTTATTTTATGCATGGTATACAAGTTATGATATTCAGGTCTGGAGGAACTCAGAACTACCATCATGACATATTCTCATGAAAGAAAATACTAGAACTACCATTATGACATTGTCTCATGATAGAAAATACCAGAACTACCATCAAGAGTTTATCTCATGACAGAAAATAAATTCATTTGATAGAAACCATTCAATATCTTTTGTGTAAATCATTAATAATGACAACGATACATAATTCGGCCTACTTACAAATAATGTAACAATAGATTAGAGATATTAGTTTTTAAATGTTTGACAGGTAATTTTTAAAAACTCCAACATGTTGGTTATTCTCAGAATTGCTGTAGGACCCTTACGTAACATTGTGTGAAAATAGTTTTTTTTAATTTAATCAGTTTTAGGCCCCAAAAATCAGAGAAGGCTACATGGAGCAACTATGAGGATGTGTATTTGAGGAAACGTAGCCCAGGCCTTGCAGCTACAGAATACCTCTGATATTTATTATTTAACTTTAAGAGGCTAAAATTTGTGATATGGAGAACAAAAATTAACTATCAGACTTGAATACCGTTGGTACCAAACCAAACAAAAGGCAGACAGCGTCCAAAAGTCATGCCACGGCGCTGTGCAGTAGCGACATTTGGGCCACTCCACCCGTGATAATTTGGTCATCGGCCGCTTGTCAGTGATATTTGGGTAGACTGTGCCAATGTTCAGATATTGCTATTCTGGGCTGCTTCTGTATTTTAAAACTACTTGCTTATTAACTCCATTTACAGTGTAAATGAAAACCTTTCATTCAAGACCTTAAACCTGAAGCTGTAACATTGATCGGTGTGACAAATTGTAAGACAATGATTTATGTTTGCGTATTCCAGCCTTTGAACCATCAACATTGTCCTCATGCTACTGACGTTACCTACTTAAATTCAATAGAGTAATATTTGTGTACGGTAGTTAAAAGTTAAGTAAATAATTAACATTACTATTCTCATACTCCTCGTATGCCTCAACTTAACAGCTGAAACATTAATAATTTGGTGTTTTTTTTAATGAAATACTGTGATAAAGTGTTCTAGATTAATTAATTTGATCAATATCATCATTGCGATCAATGGGTCCTGCTGATCGTTTGTAAATGTTTAATTTTAAAAGTCTTTTCATAAAAATTGTGCTCTGCCTAAAATGTCTAAATGCTTTGCTTTTACAAAAAGAGCTTGAAATTATTTTGTGATTTCTCCAATGAAAGATTCATTATAAAGGGATTCATCATTAAGTAAATAAAATCCCCCTCCAAAACTAAAAAAGAAAAATTTAATGCATTATTTTCTAAGGAAAGAAATAAAGACAAAAAACGTTAGAGTCCAATCATTAGCTTTTATATTGCATGCAGAATGGTACAAACTCTGTAGTTTATGTGTGAAATTGACATTTAAAATACTGGTACATTCACAGATGTGTTAACAGAACAAAAATAAAATGAATGCCATAGAATCACAGGATATACGATGGGACAAAATTTTCAAGGGATCTTAAGTAGATTCTTAATTTGCAAACATGGGAAGCTGTCCACTATGGTTGGTTAAGTTTATATGGAAAGTCCCAAAAAATTGATTTTGATTTTTTTTAAATGTTTAAGTCATTGTTTTAATTAATTGGTCACACTGAAACAAAATGGAAATTTTTAATGTCCCAAGAGAACTAGATCAATTTCGAAATTAAGTTATTTGAGATCTCAACCAAATTTATTTTCATCAGTGGTGCATGTTTATCCACACCGGAATTCTGTTCAGGTGACAAACCCTCGCACACTGACATCTTCAGAAATCAAGGGATTACATCTGGTGGCATTTTTCATCAGCTGGTTTTTATTCCTTCTTCACCATAGCACAAACAAAGGGAAGCCATGCAGGGAACTAACTTTTGTACAAGAATATGTGTACAATTGAGAGTTAGTTCCATCTTAAAATTGGTGACATAATGTATACCTTAATCATGCCTAAATCTTCAGTTATAATGAGATCAAAGCAACAAGTCCTGTGCAAAGTCAGTAGTCTATTATTGTGTTATCACTGTAGTAAAAATGGTTATCAATTTTAATATAATATATATATAAATTATAATCTTTCATTAATTTAATTTCGTTTAAAAAAAAATTGTCAAAATGTACAAACACTTTCTGTCTGGTTGTTTTTTTTTGTGCCCACTCATATTTTGTCTCCTTTTCTTAGGTAGGATATACGTGTATATGTATGTATATATATATATATATTATGTAAATTTAATTTGTACTTATTTAAATGTTTTGTTATCGTACTGATGAAGGTATGTGCCGAAACGTCTACTTATGTACTATGTAAAATTATTATTAAAGCTTAACATTAATATATATTGTTATATTGACACAAATTGTTAGTGTCTAATTAATCTGTACAAACACTGCATGACCACCGTAACTCAAGGTCGTTGCATATGTTATGTTGAATCTGATTATTGATTGATTCATAGCTACCTTGTGTTTATAAAATTCTCAAATTAAATTCCAGCATGTTATGATGACCTCAATCACATAAAATCAAGAGATTTACAATGAGTCATGTAAATATTTTTTATGTTATGATGACCTCAATCACATAACATCAAGAGATTTACAATGAGTCATGTAAATAGTTTTTATGTTATGATGACCTCAATCACATAACATCAAGAGATTTACAATGAGTCATGTAAATAGTTTTTATGTTATGATGACCTCAATCACATAACATCAAGAGATTTACTGGTACAAGAATCTTGTAAACAGTTTTTATGTTATGATGACTTCAATCACATAACAACATCAATAGATTTACAAGAGTCATGTAAATAGTTTTTCTTTGTATATGACAATTTCATAAAAGATAAGTAAAAAAAATGAACCTTTTTGATGCTGTACAATTTTTTTTTTAAAAAGTTAAAAAATAATTAATAAGGATTAAATTCAATGCAATCTCCTCTCTTTGCCATTAAATTACCCTTTTTGTAAAGATTATAAGTAATCATATAATTAAGGAGTGCATTAAAATTGTTAATGGCTAAAATATTTATACATTTTCAATACATGTTTCTCGTTAAAACAACTCATTTTGGCCTGTACCCCCATATGCTAATTCAATTAATGTTTCCCCAAACAGTAAATAAATAAATTATGCAAATATGTAATAACAAGAATTTATTACCATATTATAATCTTGACATTATATGGATGAAAGTTGTCTGTTTTATTGGTAATTTTTCTCTTTGTGTATAAAATAATTTTTAACATAATCCCAATCCTTGTGTTGCAAACACACAAGCTCAATCAAACACTTGAACTCAATCAAACATTTGAACTCAATCAAACATTTGAACTCAATCAAACATTTGAACTCAATCAAACCTTTGAACTCAATCAAACCTTTGAACTCCATCAAACAGTCCAGCTTTATCAAGTATTTACAAAACTAGATATCTATTAATACACTTGTCGTCGTTTGAACTAAAAAGGTCAAAGATGATCACAAATAGTCTTGAAGAAACTTGAGGACCGTTGTCTTGTAATGTTCACTGGCCTCGTGGTTACGAATGCCGTGTCTTTCATTGGGGTACACCTATCAAGGGGAGACAACAAATATGCTATCAACTGACAGAAATTCTTTCAAACTAACCGTCTATCTCCAACAGTGATAAGTAATTTTTCTTTTTGTTCTTACAAGTAGCAGTAACAACTAATTGAGTTTGTGGCTACTTTAGAAGATCCTACAAGCTTGAACATATCCACCATTAACAATAAACTTTAAGCCATGAAATACAATGCTACGAAGACCCCACATCCCAGTTAAATTTTTTGAAGCCATAGAATTACAGCCCTCCTATTACAGTCCAATTATGTCCAATTGTATCTCATCTATTACAGCCCAATTATGTCCCAAACATTTAGTTTGACTAAGTCCAGTAAGTGACCACAGTCCAGTAAGTGACCACGGTCCAGTAAGTGACCATGGTCCAGTAAGTGACCACAGTCCAGTAAGTGACCACGGTCCAGTAAGTGACCAGTCCAGTAAGTGACCATCTGTTAGGGAATGGGAAGAAAGCCCTAACCAAAGGACTCACCTGAAGCTGGTGGGGTTTACAGGAGGTCACTAAATGGTTGATTAAGACACTAGAGTGGCGAAAGTGGACATTCTCATCAATCAGACCATGGATCAGCAGGAGTCTTGTTTCACTGCCAGAGAATATACAATTGATTTAGTTTAATCAGGAGAGAATATACAATTGATTTAGTTTAATCAGGAGAGAATATACAATTGATTTAGTTTAATCAGGAGAGAATATACAATTGATTTAGTTTAATCAGGAGAGAATATACAATTGATTTAGTTTAATGAGGAGAGAATATACAATTTATATAGTTTAATCAGGAGAAGATATACAATTTATATAGTTTAATTAGGAGAGAATATACAATTTATATAGTTTAATCAGGAGAAGATATACAATTTATATAGTTTAATTAGGAGAGAATATACAATTCATATAGTTTAATCAGGAGAGAATATACAATTTATATAGTTTAATCAGGAGAGAATATACAATTTATATAGTTTAATCAGGAGAAGATATACAATTTATTTAGTTTAATCAGGAGAGAATATATAATTTACATAGTTTCAATTAAGTAGAAAAGTATAATGATGTGATCTGATGTAATGAAAGTATAATGACATGATCTTCTCCAATAAAGCCCATCAAATAAGTCAGATAATAAGCTGAACATTTCAATCAGACTGATAAATGTGCCAAAGTGTCCTAGTTTTATATCCATTTTAATTGTTTCTATAGTATAGTAGTTACTATCCTAATGTCTCTTTTTTATTGTACTTAGTTTACATGTTTTTAATGATTGTAAAGCGCTTAGAGCTTTAAGGTAAGCGCTATATAAAAATGCCTAAATAAATAAATAAATAAATGAATAAAAAAGTTGTTTATAAAAACATAATTTCAAACAGGTCAGGACATCTTGGCAAGAGAGAATGACAATGTGCTGCTAACACATTTGAATGCCAATCTTTATGGAGATTTAATGATGATGTTACTGAATAATTGACATGAACCTGACTGACATGGAAATAACCAATCTGATATGAAAATGACTAATCTGACAAGAAAATGACTAATTTTGACATACATTGACTAGTCTAACAATAAAATGACTAATCTGACAAGAAAATGACTAATTTTGACATAAATTGACTAGACTAACAATAAAATGACTAATCTGATATGAAAATGGCCAATCTGACACAAAGGAAACATACTAATCTGGAAGCATGTCAATGTAGGAGAGGACATTTCCTGCCTTGTACACATCTGGATTGCTCTGTGGAAGCCCAATGTAGCGTTCAGTGTAGCCAGTGTCGTAGAGCTCCCAGTTGACCACAGGGGCTCCAGCAATGGCCACCTTAAAAAAAAAGGCCGGAGGGGGGTTGAGTTATGTCCACATAATGAAATATCAAGTAGATTACTTTGAAATCATGTGACTACTCAATGGAGCAGACTACCTTAATGTCATGTGACCACATAATAAATGAGATGAAAATTTAGATTATATAAGTAAAACAAATTAATAACAAGCAGAAAATATACATGGCTTCTTTTCAACAAATAATCAGTTATTTTATTGTTCTTGGGAAATTCAAGAATTAATTTGCTAAATGCCACTTTAACATACATCACTATTTATTTCAATGCATTAATTGACAAGAGTTGCTCACCTTGAAGACATCACTTCTCTGTGTCAGTCCCATCAAAGATAGATAACCGCCTGAAATAGAGAATTGAAGAAATATCTAAAAATGAAAAGTTCATCAACACATAATTACAATAATATACTGTATCATTATAGAACAGTGGTTCTTAACCTTTTTGGAGGTACCGAACCCCACCAGTTTCATATGCGCATTCACCGAACCCTTCTTAATAGGAAAAATAAAATATGATTTTTTTTTCCCTGATTTTTTTTGGACCTCCGCCGAAAAACTCCAGATATATGGGATTCAAGGCACCACTAAAACATGGATCTCTAGCTTCCTCAGCCACCGACGCCAAGCAGTAGTGGTGGGCGGTACAAGCTCCTCCTTTGTCAATGTGAAGTCAGGGGTCCCCCAGGGATCAGTCCTGGGCCCCTGTTTGTTCCTAGCATACATTAATGACCTACCGGAGAAACTGACATCACAGGCAAGACTGTTTGCAGATGACACAGCAGTGTATAGGACGATCGCCAACAGATCTGACCAGGACCAGCTACAACAGGATCTCAATCTGTTAGCTGAGTGGGAGATGAGCTGGGACATGGAATTTCACCCTGCCAAGTGCCAGACACTATCAATCTCTAGAAGTTGTACTCCTCTACACTACCAATACAAACTGCACGGCCATATTCTTGAGCAAGTTTCCTCCGTAAAGTACCTGGGTGTTACCATTCAAAGAGAGGTCCGCTGGGACGAGCATATTAACAATGTATGTAACCAAGCAAACCAAGCCTTGGGGTTCTTAAGGCGAAATCTAAAGATTGGCAACTCCTGTGTGAAAGAAAGAGCATATAAAGCCTTTATCCGTCCGATTTTAGATTATGCATCTTCAGTCTGGGACCCATTTACCCAGAAGAGCATTGACAGGTTGGAGGCGGTCCAGCGACGAGCAGCACGCTTTGTCCTAAACCGCTACAGGAATACCTCTAGTGTTGGCAGCATGCTAGAAACACTAGGCTGGTCACCATTGGAGAAACGACGACGACAATCCAGGCTCTCCATGATGTACAAGATAAATAATGGGCTGGTCCACTGTTCCAGTATTAAACAGAAACTCGTCCCTCTCCCCCATAGACAGCGACGAGGCCATGACAGGCAATTCAGGCTCATACCAGCAAGAAGCCAGTATAGGAGCTGCTCATTCCTGCCCAAGACAATCAGGGACTGGAACCATCTTTCAAAAGGAACGGTTGAGGCGACAACACTAGACACATTTGTGTCTATTGCCTCCAGCCTTCAAACCCCTTGTGCATGATTTCCTCATCCACACCAGTAACAGAAACATTGCAAATCCCATCTACATGCATAGGAGCCAAAATGATCAATAAATTGATCGTGGGCCCTTAAGATATAGAAGAAGAAGAAGAACCCCTGAGACTGACTCACCGAACTCCTGAGGTTCGATCGAACCCAGGTTAAGAACCACTGTTGTAGAATATTCCAAGTTTTCTTCAAGCGGTAATATCAATTTTTCTCTGATGTTATGTTGTAGAGTTGTAAACAGAAGATAAATGACAAGATTCCCATACTAAAATTTTTTACCATGTTTGGGTTTAGTAAAAGACAAACAATTTGTGATATAAAGCAGGCCTGCACAACATACTGCCCGCCGCCTTCACCCACTTTGTGGCCCGCTAAGTAGCGAAATATTCTTTTTTCTTATTATTTTCTTAATAGCTTTCCCCTGACCTATTTTCTTTTGGCCTGTACAAGTCCTACCCTATTTTCTTTTGGCCCACACAAGTTTTTCATAAAGTATTACGGCCCACCTTACATTTTGGGTTGTGCAGGACGGATGTAAAGTATTAATTACAAATGTAATAATAGTTAAAATATTATGATATAGACAGGGAATACAATACAACTAGAAATTACACAGTCTAAACTAAACAATTTATTACATAGAAACTAGATGTTTCGAGGGAGGCCAGGGCGGAGGGCAAGCCCTAAGTGAGGAGAATTACATATGGTTCAGCTCAACAGATGGAGCTGGTAACCAATGTATGAGCCTGGGTCATAAGAGAGTAATCTCACCAGAATATCTGCCTTAGTTCATAGAAAAAAACGACCAACCTACCATAAGACCAGCCATGAATGGCTACTCTCGACATATCAATAAAATCTGTTTGGGAAGCCAGCCACAGCAATCCCTCAACCTGATCATTAATCTCAACTGTGCCCTAGAACGAAAAATAAATAGTTGCTACATTACATAGAATGCTACACTTCATAAAATGCTACACTTCATAGAATGCTACACTTCATAGAGTGCTACATTACATAGAATGCTACACTTCATAGAATACTAAATCATATTAATTAAAATGTTCAATCAAATTGTGTAACAAGATTTCATATCATTTAAAATTACTTTTGTTGTGAGAAAAAGGATAGTAGGCATTGCTTACACCCCCAGTAAAGGTTGCTTACACCCCCAGTAAAGGTTGCTTACACCCCCAGTAAAGGTTGCTTACACTCCCAGTAAAGGTTGCTTACACCCCCAGTAAAGGTTGCTTACACTCCCAGTAAAGGTTGCTTACACCCCCAGTAAAGGTTGCTTACACCCCCAGTAAAGGTTGCTTACACCCCCAGTAAAGGTTGCTTACACCCCCAGAAAAGGTTGCTTACACCCCCAGTAAAGGTTGCTTCCACCCCCAGCAAAGGTTGCTTACATCCCCAGTAAAGGTTGCTTACACCCCCAGTAAAGGTTGCCTATAACACCAGTAAAGGTTGCTACACTCCCAGTAAAGGTTGCCTACACCCCCAGTAAAGGTTGCTTACACCCCCAGTAAAGGTTGCTGACACCCCCAGTAAAGGTTGCTGACACCCCCAGTAAAGGTTGCCTATAACACCAGTAAAGGTTGCTACACTCCCAGTAAAGGTTGCCTACACCCCCAGTAAAGGTTGCTACACCCCCAGTAAAGGTTGCCTACACCCCCAGTAAAGGTTGCTACACCCCACTAAAGGTTGCTTACACCCCACTAAAGGTTGCTTACACCTCCAGTACCTGTCAATGAATATCATATAAACAAAGTTTACCAGATGATTCTTAAGGATCCCCTCAAAGTGCAGACCCCTGTTGTTTGACCCCCGGCCATCAATAACAATGACGACATATCCCTCGGCGGCAAGTGTGTGAAGTCTCAGAAACCTTGGATACAAAAAAAATACTTAAACTAAATACTTCTTTAAGGATATACCAAGAGTGACCATCGCGAAACAGAGGCTAGGGTTGCCAGGTTTTGTCGAAAGATAGTGGAAGATTTCTAAACTCAAATATATTTTGTTAAATTTTAAATTCAGTAAATAAAAAAAGACTTTAAAATTATAAAGCTCACTGTTAAGATTTCAAAAGATGACGTAGGAAAATAAATCTTTCCAAAAAAATCTGGCAACTCTTAAGTGCAACTAATGAGCATTGTAGCATTACGTTTTTAACATTGTATTGGCTGGGATAATTTAAATTGAGTAGATTATATGAACTAATACACTAATAAATTTGTATGCTAAAAAATGAGGTAGAATTATTAACCATATTATGCAGTTCAATACATATCTAATGGAATAAAATGCCATTGATAAATAATGAATCCAGCTAATAATGAATTAACCCTTTGACCCCCGCAATCCCGCTTTATTGGTCTGTGCCTTAAAAATCCACATCCCGCCAGACCCATATTTCGGTCTCCCATACCTTAACATAGATCGACAGTCCATAAAGAATATGTCTTGTAAATAATGAGTTCAGAGTTTTTATCACGTGTCTTGCAAAAGGTCACAGTAATGGCCGCGCCAATGAATGCATCTCTTTTGTTATGTTTTTTTAATGTTTTTTTTTCGATGTATAGAGGTGACGAAATTACACAAAATACATAAATTACTATTCTAATGGACTCGAAGTAGAGCAGGTTTATGGTAATGTAAATGATTCAAGGGATTATTATTGTTTTTTGAAAAAGACAATGACAGTGACGATGGATTGGCTTCAATTTCTAGTGCTTTCATGTGTGCTTTGGGAATGACAGAAACAACACAAGGTCTACCCCTTAGTTCAAGCCAAGGCTTTTATGAAAAATCAGGGTTGTATAAATGATATTTTACTATGCTATTTGACACCATTTCTAAGACAATTTTCTCCTTGTAAATTTGTTTACAATACTTGTGGACTACTAGCAGACAAATTTAGATTGAAATAATTAGAATGTATTTAATTTTATAATCATTTGATTTTGTTGGCTTGTGTGTCAGCGTGTGGACTTTTTCCCCCAGAAGCCCAGGGGCATGGGTATTTTAGGACCAGGACCCCAGGGGCATGGGTATTTTAGGACCAGGACCCCAGGGGCATGGGTATTTTAGGACCAGGACCCCAGGGGCATGGGTATTTTTGGACCAGGACCCCAGGGACATGGGTATTTTAGGACCAGGACCCCAGGGACATGGGTATTTTAGGACCAGGACCCCAGGGACAGGGGTATTTTAGGACCAGGACCGCAGGGGCATGGGGATTTTGGGACCAGGACCACAGGACCCGAGGGCCTGGGTATTTTAGGACCAGGACCCCAGGGGCATGGGTATTTTAGGACCAGGACCCCAGGGACATGGGTATTTTAGGACCAGGACCTCAGGGGCATGGGTATTTTAGGACCAGGACCTCAGGGGCATGGGTATTTTAGGACCAGGAGCCAAGGGTTCAAAGGGTTAAGCTAATAATGAATTGAGCTAATAATGAATTGAGCTAATAATGAATTGAGCTAATAATGAGTTGAGCTAATAATGAATTGAGCTAATAATGAATTGAGCTAATAATGATTTGAGCTAATAATGAATTGAGCTAATAATGATTTGAGCTAATAATGAACTTACTTCTGTCCCTTGAATGAGTTGTTCACCATTTGCACCTGCGGGCCCCCATAGACAAACAACACTGTTGGATATCTCTTGCCCGGCTCGCATCCTCGAGGCAGGAAGTACAGCCCATAAGAAATATGGCCGGCTCGGCTTGGGTACTGGAACAGACTTGGAGGTGTGTATCCAAATGTATCTGTTGCAAAAGAAAATATTTCGTAATTAGGAATTAGACTTTTATTTATGAAAAGAATCAATGTTTTTTTTAATCCTTTACACAGATAGATGAAAGATAAGGAAAATATGCCATGCTCATGACTTGTGTCATACAATGACTGACCTATTTTAGGTGTGAGTAATCCCAGCTGTAAGGATCTGACATGACCGGAGCCATCATGTACAATCTTGTAAATTGTACTCTGTGGTGGGGACTGCAGGGAGCTAAATACTGTGACAAATTTGCTGAAATCCTAGAGGTTGAAAAGCATACAAGTCTATTCATTACTTTTATTTTGTATCATTAAAATTTATAGGAAAATATACTCCAAAGCTACTGAAAATACATAATTCTCTATGTAACAATGTCACTAAGGCTACCAGATGGTGCCGATTCCACTAAATATTATTTGCAGGTTTACTGCGCTAAATGAGATTCTTAAAAGTAACTTTGGTAAGTAATATTTTATTTTGTTTTCTGGAAATAGTTGGTGAAATAGATCTGGAACGTAATATTTCACTTCGTTATATGTTAATGTCAGCTTAGTTTTTTTTTATACATCTTTGATTATGACAATAACATAATTTATAACTGTATTCATTCATTTGGACAGGAAATGTTCTTGCCGTAATATATTCCTCATAGATCAGTCCATAAAAATTCAAGTTCAAACAACAGATGATTAAATACAGAACTAATTACAAGAAAAGTAGTTAGATTTGTAAAGTATTTTGTGGAATAATTTTTTTTTTTATTAAAAAAATGTAAACATTATTATGGGGAAAATAAATTAACTGTTTTTAAATAAATTTTTAGACCACTTTTGTAGTAATCAATAACTAACATCAGTATTAGACTAACAAGTGGTGACCCCACTTTTAGAAACCGACAAATTCTGTAAGACCTGATCAGGCCGTGACCTACCCGCGGCAGAGCCATGAACTAAATAACTGAATTACCTGACTCATCTGAACAGCGTGAGAGTAGCCGGGCTGTGTAAGTTTAATGATCCCAGAGGGCTGGTCATATCTTGCCACAAATCTTTTGGAAAAAAAAAAGTAATGTTTTAAAATGAGGTGAAATAATATGACAGTTGGTGGGGAGCACAAACGGTTTTAAAAACACTTGTTCTAATAAGTTCTTATCACTGTTGAAGTCTTTGATGTAGGAATAGACACAGGATTCTATGTAGGGATAGACACGGGATTCTATGTAGGGATAGACACGGGATTCTATGTAGGGATAGACATGGGATTCTATGTAAAAATAGACATGGAATTATATGTAAGGATAGACATGGGTTTCTATGTAAGGATAGACACAGGATTCTTTGTAGGGATAGACATGGGAATCTATGTAAGGATAGACATGGGATTCTATGTAGGGGTAGGCACAGGATTCTATGAAGGAATAGAAATGGGATTCTTTATAGGGATAGACATGGGATTCTATGGATAGACACTGGATTCTATGTAGGGATAGACATAGGATTCTATGTAAGGATAGACATTTGATTCTATGTAAGGATAGACATGGGATTCTATGTAGGGATAGACATGGGATTCTATGATGGAATAGACATGGGATTCTATGTAAAAATAGCCCTGGGATTATATGTAAGGATAGGCATGGGATTCTATGGATAGACACTGGATTCTATGTTGGGATAGACATGGGATTCTATGTAGGGATAGACACGGGATTCTATGAAGGAATAGAAATGGGATTCTATGTAGGGATAGACATGGGATTCTATGTAGGGATAGACACGGGATTCTATGTAGGGATAGACACGGGATTCTATGAAGGAATAGAAATGGGATTCTATGTAGGGATAGACATGGGATTCTATGTAGGAATAGACATGGGATTCTAAATAGGCATAGACATGGGATTCTATGTAGGAATAGACTAGGGATTCTAAATAGGGATAAACATGGGATTCTATGTAGGGATAGACACGGAATTCTATGTAGGGATAGACATTCTCTAACAAACCGAGATACAGCTCAGTATTTTGAACCTTCTTCATCAAAAATATAATTTTTAATGCCCACATTTCAAAATGAGACTCTAATGGTGTTGCTAAGTACCAGACTACTTACAAATGTGACTCTAGTGGTGTTGCTACTACTTACAAATGAGACTCTAGTGGTGTTGCTACTACTTACAAATGTGACTCTAGTGGTGTTGCTACTACTTACAAATGTGACTCTAGTGGTGTTGCTACTACTTACAAATGAGACTCTAGTGGTGTTGCTAACTACTTACAAATGTGACTCTAGTGGAGAGTCCAACAAACCAAGGAAATAAACCATGTGTCTGGATTCATCCACCCACATCTGAAACGAAATGAAATTATAAATAAACAAGATGGCCACACACACACACACACACACAAGACTAATATTGGCCATTGTTCACACAATTAAGTTCAGACAATTTGTTATGCATCAATGTCCCATATTATCTGTGACGCATGTTGTGTCTTTCTCTACAGGGTAAGTGCTTTGGTACTCTCCATTAAAATGAAAACAAGTTTTTCAAATGACACAGTTCTCAACATTTATTGTTTTTTCATCTTCAGGCTTGAGAGTGACTTTGTTTATTAGCATCATATAATGAAAGCTAAATCTTAAATTAATATTTCTGTGACAATTCACAATTTGAAACCTTTTTAACTGAAACCCATTATTAATTCCTTATTAGTTGTATATCTAAAAATCCCTCAAAAAATCATTCTACAAATGTTCCAGCCAGCATATGAAAGGTGAAATCGATGAGAGACTGATCTATATGATTTAGGTATTGTTCATACACCTGAGATGCAGCCCACAAATCGATGACACATCAGAAGCGTTACCTCTTTGGGTAAAACTACCCAGGAACCAGATGTGATGGCTGTCTCACTAAGTACTTTGCACGTGACGTAATTCTCTGTGGAAATGAAACGTTTGTTGTGTTTGAATATTTACGCGGGCTGTTGCCACTTGTCAAGGAATAAATAATAAATTAGAGAATAGATACACAGCCCAGAGCCCAACAGAGCCCAACAGAGCCCAAATGATGTACATGAACACTTTCCTGTGCTCCACCGTGCTCCTTTATCACAATTATAAAACGTATTTAGTTTTTTACAGCTGCATGGCCATTGTTTTTGCCAGAAATGAGAGCTGTTTTTATTAAGAGCAATGTCTAGACTAAAAAGAGCAATGCCTGGACTATAAAGAGCACTGTCTAGACTATAAATAGCACTGTCTGGACTATAAAGAACAATGTCTGGACTATAAAGAGCACTGTCTAGACTATAAATAGCACTGTCTAGACTATAGAGAACAATGTCTGGACTATAAAGAGCCATGTCTGGACCACATTCTGCATTTATTACAGGTAAGATAAAACACTTGTTAGAAAGCTCAAAATTTTTTTAATTGTATTAAACAGTATTGGTCATATGACATGCCTGTAGGTATGACTAATTTAAGTGCCTTCATATCCAGCATAACAAATTTAACAAACCTGTTGTTAGGTAAAATGTCCAAAGACCCCCCAAAAATTATTTTCCTTTTCAACAATACAAGTTATGTTTCTTTACACAAATAATTTTCCTCTGATTTCCATCTGATCTAAAATATAAGTGTGGGCGCTAATTTTTAGTTAAAATGATAATTAAAAATAATTTTCAAATCTTTTCTTAAGGGAGATAATACATTTAACAGAGTCTGGACTTTAAGTGCAGCATTGAAATGACAGTTTATATTATAAATCATGTTGAATTAATCAGGATTACAATTGTAATGACAGTTTATATTATAAATCATGTTTAATAAATCAGGATTACAGTTGTAATGACAGTTTATATTATAAATCATGTTTAATAAATCAGGATTACAGTTGAAATAAAACTCTTTGTTTGTGTTTTCTATCTTTTAATGGCATGAAAGCCATGCAGGATTAAGTTTTTCCCCACAGCCATTTTTACAAAAGCTTTTAAAACAAAAACACAAAAAGACTTTGGAGCCTCACCAGTTATATCCCCTTGACCTATTTGATGGCCTATGACCCCAGACTTCTGTGTGCAGAGCTGTGATCTCATGAGGTACAAATGGCGAAATCCAGACTTCTCTGATGCATAGATGAAAGAGATTTCATGCTCTGAGGTTTGAGGTAAGAAGTGGAGCAAGTCATGGACCTGTTGGAATGAATATGTAAATGTAGAGATTCTTCACTTGTCACTAAAAACTTGATATTCAGATGGTGAGAAATTAAGTGTTTTAAAATATTGGACCAGGTATCATTTTACATCAATATGAAATTCTTTGAAAATCTATTTAAATAATAAAAAATGTTCAAACAAAGAAACAACATAGTGTTAAAATTTCTCTGACAAGAACAAAATTTATGTTGACAATAACTAGAGTGTAACTTTTTCTGATGGAACACATACTGTTACGGGTTTATTAATTATTGTTGCCAGAACACGCACTAAAAAATATGGTGAACGATCTTTCTGTGCCCGAAAACAATGGAATTCTCTCCCATTGCACATCTGCAATATAACGACCATCACAGCCTTCAAAACTGCCCTCAAGACCCATCTCTTCAAACAGCACTATACCGATTCATTCTCACCCCCTCTGACTGATAAACAACGCTCGATTCTGATGGATGCTGTCCATGGCCGGACAGGGGTAGATAGTACTTGGGTGGGTGAGGTCAAGCTTTTCACTTTCAATTGTTTTTAAATGTATAAGTTTCTGTAATGGCTAATTTTATGTAAAGCGCAGTGAGCCTAGCCCTAGGCTCGGGTACTGCAGTGAGCCTAGCCCTAGGCTGGGGTACTGCAGTGAGCCTAGTCCTAGGCTGGGGTACTGCGCTATAGAAAACCACCAACTAATAATAATTATTATTATTATTTCATCATTAAAAGGAAAAAATAAAGAAATTTGTAATATAATTCCAAATACATTTGCATAAATTTATTCCTACAATTATACAGTTAGTTACTTCATGATCTTCCATAAACCTTACAATGACATTAAGTAGACTTACATTTATCCATATCTCTGAGGTCTCCTCGTATATACACTGAATATGGGGTGCACTTGATTTAGATCCCTTGTCATAAAATGCTGAAGGGGAGATAAGCATCACTGCCTGCCTCATTTGAAGTCTGTCAATAATTACAGCGTAGATGCTGTAAACAAAAATAATTTATTTCATTCAGTTAAAAATGTTTTCAAGGCATCCCTTTCCAAACAAGACACTCTGCCAAGCTATAAAGTCAAAACATTCAAGACATCACTTTCCAAACAAGACACTCTGCCAAGCTATAAAGTCAAAACATTCAAGACATCACTTTCCAAACAATACACTCTGCCAAGCTATAAAGTCAAAACATTTAAGACATCACTTTCCAAACAAGACACTCTGCCAAGCTATAAAGTCAAAACATTTAAGACATCACTTTCCAAACAAGACACTCTGCCAAGCTATAAAGTCAAAACATTTAAGACATCACTTTCCAAACAAGACACTCTGCCAAGCTATAAAGTCAAAACATTTAAGACATCACTTTCCAAACAAGACACTCTGCCAAGCTATAAAGTCAAAACATTTAAGACATCACTTTCCAAACAAGACACTCTGCCAAGCTATAAAGTCAAAACATTTAAGACATCACTTTCCAAACAAGACACTCTGCCAAGCTATAAAGTCAAAACATTTAAGACATCACTTTCCAAACAAGACACTCTGCCAAGCTATAAAGTCAAAACATTTAAGACATCACTTTCCAAACAAGACACTCTGCCAAGCTATAAAGTCAAAACATTTAAGACATCACTTTCCAAACAAGACACTCTGCCAAGCTATAAAGTCAAAACATTTAAGACATCACTTTCCAAACAAGACACTCTGCCAAGCTATAAAGTCAAAACATTTAAGACATCACTTTCCAAACAAGACACTCTGCCAAGCTATAAAGTCAAAACATTTAAGACATCACTTTCCAAACAAGACACTCTGCCAAGCTATAAAGTCAAAACATTTAAGACATCACTTTCCAAACAAGACACTCTGCCAAGCTATAAAGTCAAAACATTTAAGACATCACTTTCCAAACAAGACACTCTGCCAAGCTATAAAGTCAAAACATTTAAGACATCACTTTCCAAACAAGACACTCTGCCAAGCTATAAAGTCAAAACATTTAAGACATCACTTTCCAAACAAGACACTCTGCCAAGCTATAAAGTCAAAACATTTAAGACATCACTTTCCAAACAAGACACTCTGCCAAGCTATAAAGTCAAAACATTTAAGACATCACTTTCCAAACAAGACACTCTGCCAAGCTATAAAGTCAAAACATTTAAGACATCACTTTCCAAACAAGACACTCTGCCAAGCTATAAAGTCAAAACATTTAAGACATCACTTTCCAAACAAGACACTCTGCCAAGCTATAAAGTCAAAACATTTAAAACATCCCTTTCCAAACAAGACACTCTGCCAAGCTATAAAGTCAAAACATTCAAGACATCCCTTTCCAAACAAGACACTCTGCCAAGCTATAAAGTCAAAACATTCAAGACATCACTTTCCAAACAAGACACTCTGCCAAGCTATAAAGTCAAAACATTTAAGGCATCACTTTCCAAACAAGACACTCTGCCAAGCTATAAAGTCAAAACATTCAAGACATCACTTTCCAAACAAGACACTCTGCCAAGCTATAAAGTCAAAACATTTAAGACATCACTTTCCAAACAAGACACTCTGCCAAGCTATAAAGTCAAAACATTTCTTTCTGGCAACATTTTCAAACTTACTATTTTCCATCTGGAGTCCAGCCAGCTCTTGACAAGTATTCGCCCCATGGGCATGCCTCAAACAGACTTTCTTTCATGGTCAACTCTTTGACCTGGAGGTCACAAACGTGTGTTGTCTGAAACGTATCAGCATAAACATTTTTATTAAATTGTATTGATTAAATTTGCAGCAGACGTCAAATTTTTCTGTTATTGCTACTTAAAGAATTTGCGAGATGTCCGGGAAAAAATGTAATTAAAAAATATCAATGTATTTTTTTAAAACAATAATGTGTTTAACCTTCATCAAGTTAAAACTGTCAGTGCAGTAGCCTGGGTATGTTTGTGTCACAGCCTGGGTATGTTTGTGTCACAGCCTGGGTATGTTTGTGTAACCGCCTGGGTATGTTTGTGCAACCGCCTTGGTATGTTTGTGCAACCGCCTGGGTATCTTTGTGCAACCGCCTGGGTATCTTTGTGCAACCGCCTGGGTATGTTTGTGCAACCGCCTGGGTATGTTTGTGCGACCGCCTGGGTATCTTTGTGCAACCGCCTAGGTATCTTTGTGCAACCGCCTGGGTATGTTTGTGTCACATCCTGGTATCTTTGTGTCACAGCCTGGGTATGTTTGTGCAACCGCCTGGGTATGTTTGTGTCACATCCTGGTATCTTTGTGTCACAGCCTGGGTATGTTTGTGCCACAGCCTGGGTATGTTTGTGTCACAGCCTGGTATCTTTGTGCCACAGCCTGGGTATGTTTGTGTCACATCCTGGTATCTTTGTGCAACCGCCTGGGTATCTTTGTGCCACAGCCTGGGTATGTTTGTGTCACAGCCTGGTATCTTTGTGCAACCGCCTGGGTATCTTTGTGCCACAGCCTGGGTATGTTTGTGTCACATCCTGGTATCTTTGTGCAACAGCCTAGGTATCTTTGTGCCACAGCCTGGGTATGTTTGTGTCACATCCTGGTATCTTTGTGCAACAGCCTAGGTATCTTTGTGCCACAGCCTGGGTATGTTTGTGTCACATCCTGGTATCTTTGTGCAACAGCCTAGGTATCTTTGTGCCACAGCCTGGGTATGTTTGTGTCACATCCTGGTATCTTTGTGCAACAGCCTAGGTATCTTTGTGCCACAGCCTGGGTATGTTTGTGTCACATCCTGGTATCTTTGTGCAACCGCCTGGGTATCTTTGTGCCACAGCCTGGGTATGTTTGTGACAACTTTGCAAAAATATTTCAGGATTATCGAAGAAAAAAATAATAATTCTAAATACTGACCGGTCCATTGAAAGAAATGATAACTTCCAAGAGCTTCAAATTACTATAGGCATTGTTAGCCCCAGCTTTGGGATATCTGGAAGATACAAGGGAAAGATGGCCCAGATATACAAATAAAAAAACTAAAGGACATGAATATTTGATAAAATCAGAAATGTTTCCAGCAAGTGCAATAAATAGGATTCAAAGTTTTGGAAGAAAGGGACACGATTCTTCAGTCAAACTCCTGCCCTATAAATAAGCCATCAGCTTTCCCAGCAGGGCAAGAATTACTAGATTTCCTAGATACAAGACACATTACGAGATTTACCAGACATTACAGGAGGCCCACAAGGCGTACTAGATTTTTACTGTGGATTAAAATTCTAGGATTATACTTTTCACTCACTGTAAGTTAATAAAGGTTTTATTTCTGTATATTTGATTTTGCATTTTTATAAAACCTTAATTGCATAATTAAATTAGATAATGTTAATATCACTAGCTTTGGTATTATTTTTCTTTGTATCCTAGTTTTCAGAATTGCTTATACAACTAGCCAAATTTTAAAACAGATTGACATTGCAAAACCATATAATGGTGACTATCAAAGTTGAGTTTCTTTCGTTTACTTGTATATGGTTCTAGAATTTGGTCAGATGAGGATCCAAATATGGCAGTTGCTGATGATTTATTTTTTGAAGTAGTAGAAAATAGTTGACAATTATATTGACATTTATGAGCTTGAAGCAATTAGAATTGGAATAATAATAATAATTTTTTTTTTTTAATTGCATTTAGACTTTTCTTATGGATAAAGAAACCTGAAATCAAGAATCCATGTTTTAAAATGAAATATTTACCTATAAAGTTCTGTACAGTTAGGTTCCTGGCCAGTTGGTGAGAAAATGGACAAAATCTCAACATCCGACTCATCAACCTCTTCATACAAGATGTGGTAAAGTTTTCTGCCATCTGTAAAATGTAGCAATTAAAAAATTGGACTTTGCAATTTCTTAAAGAAAAAAAAAGCAGTAAGTGACGGATGAAAAAGTTTAAACTGTCCAAAAAATCAACATGGTATGTTGAAACTGACCTGGAAGACGCTGACACAGGGGAGACCACCAATACCCAGTGTACCTGTCGAACTCTTCCTGTATGACAAAGCCCGGCACACCAGCACTGAGTGGATCCTCTTCCAGACGTGTCTCACCTGCAACAAGGTACACAACACACATTCCAAGTTTTGGGTTATTTTATTAAAAACAAAATGTGAGAATGTTTATGAAACCTATTTCCACTTCTACACTTCTAAAAATCTCCTCTTTCAAACGTTCATTATCCTTCCCACATCACCATCTCAAACTGGTGGGTTAAGAAGGCTACCATCAAATTTCTGCACCCATCAACAACAACAAAAAGCTACAGAAATTAACTCCACAGATTGCATGAATTTTTTTTTTTTAACTCCAAGAGTGCTTTAAGTTGTATCTGTATATCTTTATAAATGAGCCAACCTTTATGGGCATGAGTCAGCCTTATATAAATGAGCCAACCTTTATGGGCATGAGTCAGCCTTATATAAATGAGCCAACCTTTATGGGCGTGAGTCAGCCTTATATAAATGAGCCAACCTTTATGGGCATGAGTCAGCCTTATATAAATGAGCCAACCTTTATGGGCATGAGTCAGCCTTATTTCTTTGCCAGAATGGAGACAAGTGAGCCAAATATCAAGTTCATGAATGAACGCCACCAGATCACTGTTACACGGGCAGATCTTTGGGTCAAGGCGAGCCCCGTAAGTCAAGGTTGGAATTTCTACAGGGTCATCCGTAACGTCGAGCTGAAAATCAAAAAAAGTTTGGTCACGAGAATAAGGAAATCAAAATGTGCAACTTCAAATATTTAAGAACAGACAGGCAATAAATTTGGTCCTTTTAGTGTCTTGATGCAACCATTGCAGACATTAAGTAAAGTTCTTTAGTGAACGAGTGCCTCTTTCTAATTGCATCAGTTGAATGTGACCATTTTGTGGTAAAAATTTGATCATACCTGCTAGAAAATAACAGACTAAAATGTTTAAAAGGGAAAATAAAATGAATAAAAGACTTATAAAACACTTACTGTGTCATTACACATGTAAAGACTGTTGTTGGCTGGTATAATGAACAGACCATCTTCAACTTGAAATTCATACGATGTTATGCCATAAGTACCGAGTCTTTTACGCTCCCTCATCAACTGCTCTTCTCTTGACATCGGAACAGCATTAGGATTTGGCTGCTTCTCAAAGACGGGGGACATCCAGAATGGGGAACTGGAAGTTTGTTCACCCGACTCACTGGATGACTTGGGCAATGAGGAATCATCTTTTCAAAAAGAAAAGTGTAAGTTAATTTATTAAACTAGACATGTGAATGTAGCAAGAGTTTGACTGGCCTGACATGTGAATGTAGCAAGAGTTGGACTGGCCTGACATGTGAAGGTAGCAAGAGTTTGACTGCCCTGACATGTGAACGTAGCAAGAGTTTGACTGGCCTGACATGTGAATGTAGCAAGAGTTGGACTGGCCTGACATGTGAAGGTAGCAAGAGTTTAACTGGCCCGAAACCTGAATGTAGCAAGAGTTTGACTGGCCCTCATTTCTAGTGATTGACTGTTATCTCTAATGACTCATATTGACATGTGATAACAATTAAATAGACATACAAATTAAAATAGCCTGGTCTGGTCTGTGACCACTGAATCAGGTCATCATGACACAGAAATCTCCAGCTGGAGATACTCCCATATGTAAATCTTACCTACCAATGTCTACCTTCAGGAGTGTACTGTCCCTCCCCTTCTCTGGCACACCAAGAAAGTAGAGGCGAGTGAAAGACTTTCCAAGATCTGTTGTAATATTCCGAAACTGGAAATTGCTTGGTGTAGAGGGTGTTATTCTTGTTATCAACTTCCTTTGTTTTTTATTTTAAAAAAAATAAACAACAGATTTTATTTCAAAACTTCATTTAACTAAAACAAACTCTGAATTCTTTTTCAAATTTTAAATCTATATTTTTTAAATTCTGTTACTATTTGTTACTGGCTAATTGGAAAAAAAGTTATACTATAAATGTTTTCATTTATTTACTATTACATTTCAGCGGTAACTATTTTTCCATATCCATATGAATTATGTGGAAGTCTAGAAACAAATCAGAAAATTTCTGCTCCAAAGTTGTTATTTCTATTACATACACTAGCTTAGGAAAAAGGTGGGGGGGGGGGGAGTGTTGGGGGGGGGGCCCACCCCAGGCAGCACTTGTTGTTTTTGTTACTTGAAGGGCCATCACTTTTCTGGCAATTTTTTTTTTTTTTTTTTTTTTTTTATTAGGAAAAAGGGGGGGGGGGGGGAGTGTTGAGGGAGTGGACCATCCCAGGCAGCACTTGTTGTTTTTGTTACATGGAGGGTCATCACTTTTCTGGCAAATTTTTATTTTTATTTTTTTTTTTTGAGGAAGGGGGCGGCAAAAATCTTCAACCGCCCCTGTGGCACTTACCCTAGCTTTGCCACTGTTTAAAAATTATAACTTTTAAATTTAACTGGATAAAAACTTTCCTTTTACTTTTAAATTCATTTGTTTAAAAACGAAATCAATCATGACAGTTGAAGCTGACCTGGTTTCTCGCGCTGTGTTTCGAAGCTCCAGCCATGACTTTTTGTGGCCCTGCTGAGGTTTGGGTGGTGATGCTGTTGGGAGGTCATACGCATCAAAATCTTCTGATGCCATTTACATCAATTCTCCTCACAAAAATCTGTCAAGATTATTTTTTCAATTGAAAATTGAGTGAACTTAAGTGAATCAAACCATAATTAATTCATCTACTTTTGTGTACAGTGAACAGTTATGTAGATAACCATAATATTACTGATGTAACAACAATTTCTCCTGCTGTTACCACAAAAAACAATTTAAATCTTAAATTAACTTACGTTCACCTTAAGGGCTAAACTCCTCAGTAAGAATAAGAAATGAGAGTGGATAGTTTAATGTAAACTTCTACTGTCTTTTTGTTCTAGATGAGGAGCTGTAATGCTATTTTGTTGTTTAGTGTCAAGTAAAAAAAAAAATTTCTTTGAGGTGATAAAACAAAAGATAAATATTTTTTTTATGAACGATCGCTTCATTTGGCAGATGAATTATTTTAAGTATTAAAAGAATGCTGAGTAAAAATGTAGCCCATACAATTTCTTCTAAGATTTGTATAAGATTTACGAAATTAAATGTTATTGTGTGAGAAGTTGATAAAAAAACTACTTTTCAATTAGATGAAATTACTGATTTGCCCATTGCATGTCTTGAATCACTATCAGTAAAACAGTTTACTTTTATACACTGTAAATAATGGAACCAAGTAATCTAAATACAAAATGATTTATTTATGAAAAATGGACAAGAAAAAATAGTGTAGATGTAGAAAAAACAAGTAATTACCAGGATGAAATGATTAATAGAGAGAAGAAACTTTTGTGATAAAGCCTTTCAGATGAGGTAAGTCTCATTCCTGCCCATGAATTAAGAAAGTCTTGTTTTCACATCTAGTAAGTCTGAAATATGTTAGAAAATTGTTATTTACATGCCTTGTGAGTCAGGAAAAGTAGTTCAGCATGTAAAAACTCTTAACAAGAATTACAGAAGAAAAGATAGATTTTAATTATTTTTTTTTTAAAAAAAAAGGGGGGGGGGGTGCATAAACAATCAACACTGCAATTTGGATTTTATCAAAAACAACCCAAACCCCTCTCTCCCTTTAACTTGAGAGCCCTAGGCATCCTCAATTTCTTCACCTTTTGATTAAAGTCTCATTACTGGCAAACTTTTAGTTAAAATGAAACATTGAATATACATATTATATACAGCGGGATTTTTTTTTTTTGTGACATTCCGAATAAAATCAAATAGAAGTCTTCATTTAGGTACAAATTATTGGATTGATTTAACACAAATAACAGAAAAATACTGAAAAAATAAATTAAAGATAATACTAGGCCTATATAGGCTAAATAATCTTTATTTTTAATGATTGTATAGAAATTCATGCAAACAGCAATCTTATTGTAATTTCTTCCCACAGTCAGAAAAAATGCAGCGCACACACAGTCTTATTTATGATCATGATTGTTGGACATGGTTTATCAAATTGAATTGTAACATTTAAAAAAATGACCATTGTCTAATAATTACAAATAAATGGTTAGGGGCTATTAAAATGTAATTACTAGCCAGTTTAAATTATAAATGATTGATAATAAAAATAGCTATGACTATGATGATTGATATTCATTTGTAAAGTAAACTTCATTTTTAGAGGCTGGACTAATTCTTGGTCTTGTGCCATGGCATTCTTGAAAATGATTCAATTAGGCCGCCTATGTTAAGTAAGCCTTATTAGCCCTTAGGCTATTCAAGGGTGTAGTATGATTAGTATAATTTAAATGATTAGGCTGTAAAAGCCTAAGTGAAAGTGAATGTCAATGCCTTAAACTTAAGTTGTAACATGTAATTAACAGTAATACTTACTGTCAATGCTACCTTGGTTATTTATAACTATAAGTTAATACTATGATATAAGTTATTTTTTATTTATTAATTAGTAATTAAGTTATTTAAGTTAAGTTAAGTAGTAGGCAGTCAGTAGGCTTAGTAGGGCCTGTTCTTACACTAATTAATAATTACTATACACTATAATATATGTACACTAATTTAATAAGTTATATGGCATATGGGTAATATTAATAGTAAAAAGTGTTTTACTTTTAATCCATCGCCAATTTAAAATTAAATTTATCATAAACTAAATACTTCCTAGTATGCACACTGAGACACTCAGTGACACTGTCATGAATAGAGCTTTTTAAATGTGCAACTTGGAGGTATCGGTTGTGTAAGTGAAATTGTATCATTAAATTATGTCTAAACTCCAAGAAGTTCTTTCATCAAAAACAGAAAATGAGAAATCAAATTCATATTTTTTAATATGCCAATCAACTTTAAAATTACATTGTATGACAAAGTGGCGAGAAAATCATAACAGACTTTTTGTTTTAAATTACAGTCCAGAATTACGCTTACCCGATATTACAATATTAAATGCAGCTGCTTACAATAGGTTTAGTGGAATAGTTCCAGACCCTAGTTCTCTTAACTAAAAGATAGAGAGTGGTCACCCTTTTTACCGAAATCCAAGATTAAACCGAGATAAATTTAATTTAAATCAAGTTAATTTTTTTTTTTAACTACTTGCAGGTGAATGTGTGTTTCAACTTTCAAATAAGAAAAAATTAGATATTCTTGTCTACTAAAAAACTGTGGGCCACTAATTTTATGATTTATTAAAAAAGTGTGTTCTTTATTCCCAATTGTATTGTAAGTTACTGAACTGTTACGCTTATATTATATTTATATTGTTTGTAGAGAATGCGCGTCACACATGGGAAGGAAATAGTAGAAATTTCAAACGAAGACTTTACCACACTTTGTGTACCTACCAGTATTTGGAGACGTATTTTCTTTCCAAATTTTAATACTTGTTGAGTCAAAAATTTAGTAAAAAGGCCCCCTTTAACAGCTCCCACTCCCATCCTAAAATAATTAATTTTAAATACATTAATTGGACTATGGAGACTATTGGTTAAATTATAATTCTATGCATTTATAGCTTATTGTATATTTGAAACAACTGAAAGGGGGAAAACAATATTTATAATATTTTAATTTTGATTTGTGTTATGTACACCACTAGCCGTATAGATTTTTAAGCACAATTACAAAAGCCTTTTTATCTAGACTTAATCGATATTTTATTCTTTCTTCCATCGCAATTAAGACCAGAGCCAGTGTCCCAAGATGACAAAATATTCTGACCATCACTGTCTGAAGTCTGAAGCCTTGTCCCACTTATCCCACAATGTTTTAATTATATTTATTTTCTTTTAAATGGTTCATGTGATGCCTTCGCTCAAATTTGAGAAATGAAAATCTTCAGTAAAAATAAAATCTATCGGACAATTAAGGATAAAGAATTTGGGCTAATCGAGAAATATATCACATGTGCGCGGACCCTATCATAGTCACCAGTACTCTCAGTGCTTCTTTCAATTTGTTCCACGGGGGGGGGGGGTCCAAATATTTGGGCGGGCACCCGGGCACTGGCAATTTGTTTTTATTGAGAGATGGAGTTTTCGGCCAGCTGCATGATTTTTATCCTCAAAAGGAGATGGGGCAGCTTTAAACTAATCTAGAAATATATCACATGTGCGCGGACCCTATCATAGTCACCAGTACTCTCAGTGCTTCTTTCAATTTGTTCCACGGGGGGGGGGGTCCAAATATTTGGGCGGGCACCCGGGCACTGGCAATTTGTATTTATTGAGAGATGGAGTTTTCGGCCAGCTGCATGATTTTTATCCTCAAAAGGGGATGGGGCAGCTTTAACTTTAGCTAATCCAATTGGCAGTGCACCTATCAGTGCCAAAATAGGCATAATGGCAACCCTGCTCCATCGCCCAACAGAAACTAAATTCATTGCACTTTTTGCGCCCCTTTGAGTATGCTTTTGACCCCCGCTAAGCTTAATCGCTAAAATTTAAATAGTCCAATTAATTATACAAAATTAAAGGAAAATACTACATTTGTCTGAGCGGGGTCCCTCTGGCACATCCCTCATTTGCCTTCAGGCGCTGGGAAGCCCACTCATCTGCTTCATCTTCCGACGGAATGCCCATCTCCACCTCACCATCCCAACCTACCCGTTCACCATATTCTCACACATGCCCGTAACTCCACCTTGCCCATGAGTTCTAGTAGGTCGTGCCTTGCCACCCCGACATAACCCCTTCAACATATTCTCACACATGCCCCTACAAACCCATGTATCCTCCCTTCTAATCTCCTTGTCTACTATCTCACCGAACTCTATTTTTCGTCATACCATTATGACTCACTCCCATGAGTTGAATCCTGGGGAAAAAAGGGAGATAACGCACCCAAGATCCCCTTTTTTCCCAAAACAAATATGTATTTATTACTTAGTAAAAAAAAAGTATAGGAACTCCGTTCCCACACGTTCCTGCAAGACTTTACCCCTGCACCACCCCCTCCTTCTACCACCGACTTGTCCCTGCTCTTTTATACCAAATCTCCCTCCATACCCATTTTTGTATAATACTGTAAATTATGTCAACAAGCTCCAATGAGAAATCATTCATTTACCATTCAGCTGTCTACCTTTTCTCAGGGTCAACTCATCAGATCTTTCAGAAACGTTATTTTCAGGAAAGGTGTAGTGAGAAATCAGATATAAAGTTTTTCTACATTTTCTTCAGCTATCATTTTCTATTCATACTACACTTTAGTCTCTTGACAATATTGATAATGGCTATTAGCAGAGGTCAGTTCCTGGGAAAAGTCTGGAAACTCACCTAATAAGATATGCATTTCTTAGCAAATGTGGAAAAAGAAAAGAAACAATGTATGTGCTCTCCTGTAGGACTCATGATTATAAATTAAGACCAATTTATTTGATATGAGGCAATCTGGAAATATTAAAAATGTGACCTTTGGTTTCAAAACATTTGACACCCCTGGTTTGCAAATTTTTTGGCATCCTAAGGTCCATGCCAACTAAATCTGTTATGGGGCACTTGATGATACTTTGACAACATAACGGACATCAAATCAATGAAACAAAAGTCAGTTTTAGATTTTGTTTTTTATTTTACGAACACTGAAGACACTAAGTTGGAAATAAATAATTTTAAAACCCAATAAAATCATTCATTCAGAGAAAACAAACAAAATACACCCAAACGAGTTTGTTTAAAAAAATACTGTCGTAAAAAGAAATGAATTAAAATATAATAATACTTATAAAAGAAAAAGCTTGATTCCAGTCAAGTCATGCCAACAACTTAACTGCCACAATAAAAGGAGCTTTTCAAAGACCAATAAGACTTTTATAATATATGTAGACACCAGCTTGTGTAGATAACAGCAAAAGCATGACTGCATTACATTTTATACATGGAACAATTAGTAAGTATGAACGCACTGGGACAGTTTCATGGATGAGGGGTACAGACTTATTTTACAAAATGTAAAAAAATTAAGTTCAATCAAAATAATGCAGAGACAGTTACCCATTCCGTCAAACTTAAATGTCAAAACTGATCAATTGTTATTTACTGTGGATAAAAGAAATATTCAATGCACTCCAAAAAGTATGTTTTAAAAAACGTAAAGACTCAATCAATGGATTAATAGATGTCACTTTCTACAATTTTGTTTCACATTGTCAGCTGTTAAACAATTATATTCCAATATGTTGTACCTGTAAGAAAAATATAAATATCTCGCCTAAAGTTCTTTGACTTGAAATTTTCTTAAAATCAAAACAATCTTTTAAATAAATCATCAGTAGTACTTGGTATATTATTTTTGAATCTGCTGATAATGTTATTTAGTCCAAGAAACAGGTCAATGTCTGAAGTTAAATAGAGAAAAGTGAATATAATGGCCATAGCCTGGTTGTCTTGTAGTATGTATAATATGGACTAGAAAATAGTAGGGGTGTGCCGGACCCCGGTCCGGAATCCGGTTCCGCCGGATTTTGCACTATCCGGTAAAATCCGGTTCCGCCGGATTTACATGTATCCGGAACAACCGGATTCCGGAATCCGGAGTATACCGGATTTCGGAATTTGCCAGATTTTGTGACTCACCGGATCATAATCTGAAATAAAAGTAATTCTCTTTCCCGAATTCCACACGATCACGATACATTAATCGATTGTTTCGAGCGTTGAGCTTGTTTAATGTTTAATATTCCGTACATACCAGAGGCTAGAGTCAGCACCGCTAATAGTGGCCAATAGTGTAGGGACTTTGATAAGAAAATTTAAACTTTTTGTAAAAATAAACCAATGGCATAGTTGAAAAGATGTAATTTTTTAAAGAATTATAACACCAAAATCATATTTTTAGCTGTTGTAGTTTTAAAGTTATGAATTTTTAAAGTACGACTTGGTTTGTCATTTTTTAACATGGACTGCATCTCCACATTCTGTGATCTCATTCCGCCAATCCCGTCATGCGCAATGACTATATAGTTTATATAAGGCAACGCATTCCCTGCCTTATCACTAAAATACTGTTTAGACTTAGTTTAAACTTTCAACTTTGGCACATGAATAATTAATTAAAGCTTTCCCTGACCAATGGTTTAATAGTTTTTGCACACGGCAAACTCTTATGAATGAAACTCTGAGGTAGTACTACGATACAGTTATGCAAGTGGCTGTGAATGGTTGCCAATGACAACGTGTTGCACACGGTAAATTCTGATCATTTATAATATGGATTCTACCGGGTTGTTAAAGCTCAAATTAAAACATTCCAGTTTAAATGTCTTTAAATGCATTCTGAAACACAAGTTATCAATTATTTTGATGTAAATAGTGATAATAAATTAATATTTCCTAAGTATCGTCAACTTCCGCCATTAAAAAGGGGGGCGTGGCCAACCCCATGGCGAAATTAGGTTGAGCGAGCTGCATAACCTGCTGCGAACGCGTAGAAACATGGCGTCTCTCGTTAGACACTTATCCAAATGGAACGGAACTCAAATATATATCGAAAGTACTAATTTAATAATAAATAGACACACACATCGGAAAATTAAAAACTCGGATTTTTTGGCGCCGATTGCGAATTCCCATACACAAAAAGTAGTAGTCCACCTTGACTTACCGAAGTATCTACCAATAGTACCAAAATCCGGAATCCGGGAGAAACCGGTATCCGGATCCGGCGGATTTCGCATAAGAAAATCCGGATCCGGATCCGGTTGGAAAAAACGGATCCGGCACACCCCTAGAAAATAGCTTGCTTCAGACAAAAAATTGTATAATCTGAAATGGTACATAAATTAAAAACAGCTTAAAAGCCCATAAATGACTAAAGAAGTAAGTGGACAAATGAAACAATAAAAATATCATGATGGAAAGAAGGATCCAAGAAGTGATTGCAATAAATGCATAATAACAAACATGATTAAGATTAAATATACAGTAACTAAACTATGCTTTTGCGTTCCTGTTTTGTCATCAAAACTGACTAGTAACGTAAAATTGAACTTTTGAA